ATTAGCATGTTTTCACTTGGCTCATTAGGGAACATAACGCTGAGCACAACGTATATTAAAGACAATAACTTAAACTGTTATTAAGGGTCAGAACCAACCAAACAAAGAGGAGCACGATAGGTTAATCGTTGGCACAGAATCTAAAAAGTCATGAAATACAAATGCAATGTTTACTGGAAATTAAAAGGGAAAAGGGGAGGGTGGGGAGGGGTAGGTTCGTTGGAAACACTGTCGAGTTTTATTATTCAGCATACAATAATTATCCAATCTCCATATTATTTTAAAAACTGTTGTTACATAACACATACGGGACTACATAGACGTTTCATTTCTAATGTATTCAAGCACATTTTTGACTTGCTCTCGTGAATAACTTCCTGGGTCAGTCGATATCATTCGTTAAAAAATACGCATTCAAAAAGTATTCTGCCAAACGATTAATCAATGAAATTGGAAACAGACAAAAATCCAATAAGTCAGTCTATCAGTTTTTCGATCAGTTAACCAATACTCAGATTGATCCATCGTTCCTAGCAATCAATTAATCATTTAATCAATCAAGTAATCAATGACCCGTGTTCATCTGTCTATTTGCAGAACAATACTCGATCGAGTGACAGCTAACGAACAAAGATCCTTTATCTCTAAATTCTCTCTCCCTCTTTTAAATCTATGAGCAAGCAGTAAAAGATTGTTGGAACAGAAAGGTTAGTAATTCATTAAAAATTGTTTTTTCTTTTTTACTCAAATGGTGACGGAATGCATTAAAAGAGTAGGGAGGGTTGATGCAAGGAAACACAAGCAAATAAACGATACAACAACTTGTGTTTGTTTATTTCACTGAAAGGATACTATTAAAATTTACTTTGTTTTGCCAGTTAAAAGGTCTTTTTCAAGCAACGTAATGATCATTCGATGTCCAAAGTCAATACTTTTTAAATAATATTTTTTCTTCCATCCTTTTTTACTGCTGCAGGATAAAAACAAATGGAATCATCCCCAGGATGTCTCATTACAGCCGTTTGGTGGTAAGGGGTGTTAAGAAAAACATGTTTCTGGAAGTGGTTGTTTCAGTATCTAAGGATACTTTTGCACCAAACGTCCTTAATGTCATTCTATTTTAACCGAAAAACACTTCTTTGAGTTCGTGAACGGTTATACGTTAAGACAGAATAATTCTTTTTTTTACTTTTATCGCATTTTTGTAATTGTACAAAGGTACTTTACGTTCGGTTTTTGATCTATTCTCTTACGCTGAGACTGGCGGAGTGCAAATCTGAACCACGTCGACAAAGGCCGACTGTGAAAGTGGGCGCGTCCCGCCACAAGCGTCATTAACGAGTCCCGTTTAATGTGTGTTGACCTTGCATTAGCATCACACTGGTTGCAACCACCCCAATCTCACGTCCCTCTTTGGGCAGAACCAACCAAACAAACAAACCCGACAGAGGTATGTGGTGCAAAGAATTAATCAATGTGGCTAAGTGCATCCACACAGACTTCACTGTTGCCTCATGGAAAGCTGTTACTAGAGAAAGAGCTAAAAAAAACTTGAGAACTATTAAGAAATGGTATTTCTTAAGTTTTTTTTATGTCAATATGACAGATGATTGCTTCTTTCAACTTGAATTAGATTTTTTTTCTCTTGTCGCACGTTTTGTACTTGGAGAAAGCGTTGAGTTAAGGGAAATTCGTTTTGATTATAGTTTTTGTCACCACTTTTGTCTAGATCTAGTCATGAATAAACTTTCATTTGATTTGTAAAATTACTTCTTACATCATCGCAAAAATGCTGCTGTGCGCACAATCTCAAACAAAACAAAATTAAATAAAAACAAGCAAACTTAAAGCTCATAACTTCACCAAATCTCTCTCTCACTCTCACTCTTTCTCTCCCCCCCC